CTAAGGGACGTTAAATGGCCGTTTCAATGACGTTATGAAGTGATTCGTGAGTCAGGCACTCCAAGACCGGCTCTGCGTGGCAAACGCACGCGGGTCAAGGATGTCAAGTTATAGTTGTCCCCATTTCAGCATCAGGAACAAAGTATAAAATGACTGCAAATCCGTGGCGGTGTCTGTACGTTTTTACTCCAATATCTTACAGCTAAAAAAATAATGTGCACATGTTAGGGTAACGCGAGCGAGAACACGCGATGCGCTTTCCCGACAAGCAAGAAATTGTGCCCACCTACCGCGCAGTAACTTGGGAAATGACAAATTGAGCAACATGAAAAAATCCTGGAAAAAGAACAATTTGAATAGCTTGAAAAAGAACATGTGTTGTGCCCCCCCCCCCCCCAATGTGTGATATCCTGCGTGCGCCCCTGCCGCCCCTGCGCCAAACCTCCCCCAGGGATGAAGACCTCACGTCGGAGTACGTCCAGCAGCACGGACGACACTGCTAGCCTGGTTGGCCGCGTGGCTGACCGGCGCAGCACGCCCCCACTGAGAACAAACGTTGCTGGGATGCGGGAGGAAGCGGGGTGTGGGGAAAGAGGGTGGATGACACCCAAACTTCCCTGCATCAATCATGTGTACTTGTCCTGGGTTCCGGCAAGTGGGAGAGCGGGAGGAACATCACAGATTAGTTGGTTTCCAAGTTGGTCGTAACAATAGGCACTTGAGCTCAATTTCTTGTACACAACGCCTGTAAGCACTGCGTTAAATCTCAGGATAATTGGGGTTCGAGATTCTCCAATTGAATCGGTCCTCATCCGGACAGCGTATGGTTTTCGCCTGTTACGTGCAACACCTATTAGGTATTAAATGTCACGCTCAGCTCCTTAAGTTGGGGTCATTTGCGTCCATGCAATTATAACGGAGCCCATGGCGCCTATAGGCATTTAAGCACAAGTTGCAACGTTCAGATATTCCGTAAATATCATGCGATTTTCTCTGAACACCGTCGTTGTGCCTGCCATAACGTAACGCAACGCACGCGCCGTGCTTACGCAAGCTGTGGCTGAGAGATTGTGTGGTGATGCCGGATCCCCTTTTTAGACCGTAATGTATGCATAGTAATTCACATCAACATTGGGTACACCATAGCTCACATATTTCGGATAATCAATTCCCGAAATACGCGGGCGCCTCGGGTTAGGATCAGTTATTAGTGCTCACACGTTGCGCAGGACAGCTGACGCCACCATGCGAGTGTTATTAAATTGAGCAACCGCCCCGGGGCAGCCAGCGGGGCATGTGAGTGATCTCGCCTGTGCCAACAAGGCCACGACACCGCCACCTTGTGACCCCTAACCTGCTTCGGTTTAAATAGAGCTGTCGCACTGGCTAGGACAGTTTCAGCCACCAGCCAGACGGATCCGAACCTGAGGCAGCGTCATTCCTCAGACCCATTTACAGCATCGGAAAGGCGTTAGACGCATTGGGCCACGACGGCCACGCACCGATGGCTCAGGCCAGACTCGCAGCCCAGCACTGCAAGCGCGGCTCTGACGTCACGCGCAAGACGCCCACCTGCGCCGCTGCGATCCCGGGGCACAGCGGGCCGACCGCACGTTCCGGCGCGGCGGCGAAGCGCACGCCCCCACCGGCCGCGCGCGCCGCCCGCCGAGGCGCCTCCCATTACCGGCGTATTACGGGCCCATTACGGCGGCCGTTCGGCAGGCGTCGTCGGCGGCCGGGTGGCACTGCATCCTCGGCCGCATGGGAGCCGGCATCGGCCGTGCAGCCGCCGGCCGGCCGCCGTCCGTTCACCCTGGCGCTGCACGCGGACCGACCCCTTTGTTTGGGCGGCACGACGCGGCCATTTTTACCCACGCCGCGGCGCAGGACCGGGTGGCCGCGCCGGCGTCTCCCTCACGAGCGCGCCGGTCGTGATTTCGCGCAGCCCACTGGGACGGCGATGGTGTGAGGCGCTCCCCGGTTCGATGGCATGACACTCGGCGGTCACGCTTTGCAGGCGGAGCCGCCGCGGCGCGATACGAGGTCAGGCCTGGAGAGGATCCCGAGCGGACGGGGCGCGTTACACGGCCAGCGCGACAGTATGCGTGCCGTCGATGTACTGTCGACTCGACAGCGTGCTACGAGTAAGTCATTAGTGGGAGGCGTATGCAGAGCGCGTAGCAAAACCGGTAAGCACGGGCAGCTGCAGGTAATCTACATGGATTACCTGTACCTTTCATTTACATTTCCTTTTCCTCCTGCATTTACATTTCCTTCTGAGCATTTACCAGGTTTTGATAGCACGGCGACCCGGGCCTGGTCACGAGCGCGCAACTGCTGATTCTAACCACCCACTTCGGCGCCACAAAGGCGCAACAAACACCAATCCACTCACACAAACTTGACCTGTATTACCAACACGACGCTCGCTGTACACTGGGCGCGGCGCCGGACTCAGGCGGAAGCCGCCCCCCTCCGCGGCGGCACCACCACCCGCTTCTGCAGGCGCGGCTCCAGCAGCCGGCCGCCCTCCAGGTCGACGCTAGGTGGCAGGCCCAGCGCGCGCTCCTCCTCCGCGATCCACTCGACGGCGGCGCGGCGTTCGCGCTCGAACGCCGGCTTCTCGGCGTCCAGCCTGGCGGCGCAGGCTGTCCAGCTTCTCCTGGCGGATGTTATCGCAGAAGATCTTGACCATGCGCCGGATACCTGACTTGCGGGTCAGCGTGGTGTCGGTCCTGTGGTTGAAGGGGGGGGGGGGGGGCGTTACTAGAGGGGGGTTTGGTGACAAAGACCAGACAAAGACCGGTGTAATATCATTTTCGGTGCAGCGCACGTGCTCTTGTGGGACCAAGTAGCTGCTGCCCAAAGGCGAAGAGGCCCACGCGCCACCAGGACATTGTTCAGAAACATTTGTGGGGATTCGCTGAATCATTCACGCTTAAATCCCTATAAAACTGCACTATTTTTAACCCAGACTTCTTAATACTTTTCCTTGCATAATAGGGTACCGTTCTTCGAGGTTCATCAAATGATGCACATAAATACAATCCCCAAAAATCGTTGTGCTGCCTTGTTCCTTTTGAACGGATGAGCGGCAAAGAACATGCATGCGTCTCGAAAATTCAAGCATATCATCATCATGGGGCTTTTAATGGCAACACTTCAACACGTCGTTCACAATGCAAGACGCTGTCTCGCAGCTGTCGGGCGGCGGATCGACGCCCCCCCCCCCCCCCCGCGCCCGATGCACAGACGGCGAGAGTCATCACAAGTTATCTGGCTGCCCGCAAACGGGCCGAAAACGACCGCCTCGCGGCTCACAGGCGTGACTGATGCTACTACAATTCAATCTCCGGAAACAGATGAGCGTGAAGGGAAAGTGATGGGAAACCCGCGGCGTAAGTGTGCATGTCTCGGTCCAGAAATAGTACCTGGCTTGTTGGCAGTGCGGGGAGCGTGGGCACTATCCCTTTCAAGACAGGCTTCTCCATTCCAATAGTTAAGTTGGATAATAGTGGCTATTTTATATGACTTGGATGGCAGCTATTCCTCGGATATTTCTACTCCGCGCGGTCCTACGCCACCGCTTCATTAACATCGGTGGCAGCGTCAGCCGCTGGTCGACATACACCTGAACCAACAGGCTAAAACACAACCAACACCACCGGAAGTCGACACAGCTTCCCGCTCCGGCAACTAGACCTGACCCAGTGTTGAGGCCGACTACCGGCCGACCCGGCTCCAGTCCGGCCTCGGGTGCCGGGCCTCGGGTGTCGGGCCTCGGGTGCCGGGCCTCAGCCACGCCCAGAGCCGCACGATCCCCGCCCATCCACTCCACGATTGCAGCGCCGCAGCGGAGATCGATACTGACCCGGGTGGCAGCGGCGGCCGGTAGATGACCTCCACCTGGTCCAGCACCCACTCGAAGCGGCGGTAGTCGGCGGCGCGCAGCTGGCGCAGCAGACCACTCCGCCTCCACGTCATGTTGTGCACGTGACGGCGCATGGGGCCGCCCTCCTTGGCGCCCTCCGGTGTCATCAGCCGACGCTGGAACTCCCGGATCTTCACCGTCAGCCGGGCGACTGCCGGTGGGGAGAGAGCGGTGTCAGTGAGGATCCAGAGGTGGGCAGCGGTGTCAGTGGTGATCCAGAGGCGCGCAGCGGTGTTAGTGGTGATCTAGGGGCCGGCAGCGGTGTCAGTGGTGATCCGGAGGCCGGCGGCAGCGATGTTAGTGGTGATCCAGAGGCGGGCAGTGGTATTAGTGGTGATCCGGAACCGGGCAGCGGTGTAAGTGGTGATCCGGAGACGGGCAGCGGTGTTAGTGGTGACCCGGCGGCGGGAAGCCGTGTCGGGGGTGACACGGCGGCGGGGAGCGGTGTCAGGGGTGATCCGGCGGTGGACAGCGGTGTCGGGGCGACACGGCGGCAGACCGCGTTGTCGGGGTGACACGGCCGCGGGAGCAGTGTCAGGGGTGATCCGGCGGTGGACAACCGTGTCGGGGGCGGACACAGCGGCAGACAGCGGTGTCGGGGGGCGACACGGCTGCAGACAGCGGTGTCGGGATGACACGACCGCGGTGAGCGGTGTCAGGGGTGGCCCGGCCGCGGGGAGCTGTGGAAACAGACATCGACGGCTGTACAACTCTTGAGTGGACGAGCGTACATCCTTCACCTGGCCTCTTGACAGGACTTTGGCGCTCTCCACAGCGGGCAGAGTTCGAGCTCACTTTTCGCCTCCGGAGACTCCGTGTCGAAGCGGTGCCTCTGTATACGAGCCACAGCCCTTTCCTCCAGATACTTGGTCTTCTCGACTCCACGGGCAAACTCCAAAGACAGTACTCTTTGGGTGACTTCGTCACTCCTGTAAAGTGGGAGCATTTAATATGTCAATTACACACTGGAAAGCTGGCATTGTTAATCAGGCGGGGAGGATTTCTTTAAGGAGGAAGCACAATTCCTTGACAAGGGACACACTACCTTAACTAACCTCCCCAATGTGGCCAACCTGTTTCACACTTCCAATTTGGCATGCAAAGGGCATTGGGCAAAAGGGCAAGGGCATCGCTCCCGACAGTGGACGAAGCCGAGAACAGAGCCAAACCCGACTGGGGCTTCTTCCCAGGTCGCCAAACAACTTGCATTTCGCGTCTATCCCGGCAATCCTGATTTGCTGTCCATTTTGGCCCGACGTGTCCCGCAAGTGAGGAGTGCACACTAGAAATCGCTTTTGCAAAAGGATATACCGACAGGAAGGTGATGGTGTGGAAAGTCGCCAGCCCTCGTGAAGCCTTGGATCCAGCTTTCTGCAGGAGTATAGCAACCGTCAAACGCGAGAAGTTATAACGAGAAACGCGCATCAAGGAGAAATTGATGCTGTTTTGGATTTAACATATTCCGGTAGGTCCGTGCCATGATCCGACCAGACTTGGCGACAGCCCACTATACGAGCGCAGCACTTCCCATCCTGAGGAGCTGGCCATTACCAGCCAAGAATATCGAGAACATCCCTGATACGCCACAAATACGCCCGACAACAAACGTGCATCATGTAGCATCACGGGTATCATGTGCGTTACAGGTATCATGAGTATCACGCGCGTTACAGGTATCATGAGTATCACGTGCGTCCTGGGTATCATGAAACCAGATATGCGCATGATGGGTTGAATGGCCATATCCGATCAACAGCTGATCACGCGCAATCGACACGTCATCAGATTTATGGAGCAGGAGGTGCCGCGCAAATGGATGCAGCGATCCCTCGCGTGCGTGCGCTACGCTGATCGTCATAGTGATCCTGTCTGCTGTTCACTGAAACCAAAGCACAGTGCATCGCTACCGCTCCGGACTGCTGTTCGTGCTGTGCCCATTTCTCAATTTTGAATAAACCTACACTAACTTTGATTTTGACCAGCTTGCCAGTAATCGCCTGTCTTCAAAGATTGCAAAATTAGTGTGATCGCAAGATTAGTGCGACCTATCGCGGTTGTTCCCGTCCCAGGTGCGTTTGGCCCGCACGGGCCCCCGTCCACTGACCAGCGGCCGCGCGCATGGCCCCCAAAGTGTGTGTGTGTGATGGGGGGGGGGGGGTCTGTCTGCCGGTGTGCGCTATGCAGTGGCGACGAAGAGCTGCGAGCTTGAACCATAGAGTGACTGACTACCTTGGGTGGCGGACCACCCAGCAGAGAGCAGTGTGCTGTCCGCACGGACGGCCGTGGTTGTGACTACTCCAGTGACAGCTAGTGTGTTGAGCTGGTAGACAAACACTTTCATCACAATTTATCACAGCACTGACAATGCTACTAACATATGCAATTCAAATTGAAAGAAGGGATTATCATCACTGACAATGAAGAAAATAAATCAATTATGTGCAAAGAACAAAAATGTTATCCAAAGCAGCCACTAATGTTCCCAGAAGTACTACTGGTCCATGTTCTTTTATTTGCTTTAAACCCACAATATGCAGCAGAACAGGCTATGAGAGAGGCACATACCTGTTGAGGACATCTAGAGCAGGTTTCACAGCAAACTGTGGCTGTGTCAGGTCAACTGGTTCATTGATACCCAGGTCTCCGGAGTAGCTGGCTGTGTGTGGAGAGGGCTTCTCCACAAATTTCCACTGCACCACATCCTTCACATCCACCACCTTACACCTCCTTGGCTGAGAACTACAGATGACAGGTGCAACTGGAAAATGGAGACTGAGTTGGTGGCCTGGCTCGATTTGCACCACCAGGATACAGTAAGACCTCTACTGTGTAACACTTTCCAAATGACATGCTTGTGCTCAGCTCAGTACTTCTTCTATGATGATCTCAGTTGGTATACATCCTGCCACAGAGGCCACAGGAGATCAACCAAAGTATCTTTTATGTCCTTTTGGCATTAGTTTTTTAATACATAGCGAGTAGCAAATTCAATCTGTACAACAAATGCCAGTTGGCTGTCATGTCTTGACCATTTAGTACTTCAGTCTCAAACTGTCAGAATTTGATTGCTACAGAGCTGTTACTGTGTAGGTATCTCATCCCACAGACCAAGCCTGCCACAGCTCTGCTCATGGTAAAATAATGAAAGCAGACACTTGATGATCTACATAACAAACTACACCATACATTACATGTGCTGCTTGATGCATTGTGTATGATGGCATACAACATCTCTTACCTAACAGCATAGCAGGTATGACAAAACAGCCCAAAAGCAATGACCACCTAAAAGTTGCACCAATGCCTAACTGATCTTGTCACCAGATGTATGTCAGTGCTAAACACAGATAAAACACAAATCAATTTCTTTAAATTAGTTCAAAACCTAAATGAATTGTCAAATTGCATTTTGGTTGAGGTTTCACTATATTTCTTTTCTAAAATTCCATGAAACATTTCCTTTTTATAGGCAAACAAATTAAGAGCAAGTACTTAACTGGGAATGAGCAGGTGTACAGTGCAACTGTGCTGACACAAAGCTGGGCATGCTCAGCACAATGGTTTTAAGCAGACCAAAAATGACTTTGGGTGTAAAATGTATATTCAAATTATCTATCCACTCATGAGATCCTGATTTTGTCACATTAACTGCATAGCCTTTTCTCAATATTTTAAACCTCCAGGTTACATACATCCACACTGCAGTCACAAAACAAGTCAACAATACCTCTAGTAGTCACATAAACAGACAAATAAGCCACTACATGCCCAGCCCTATCCTACCCAACAACGAAATGAATAAGTAAGCTATGGCACTTACCTGTCCTGATCCCAGCAAGCCTTCCAAAAATGCTCATGATTCAGCTTGCATTGGTTCAAAATTAAAACAATGAATGAAAACGGCTGATCATATTGACCACAACAGGACCAGTCCAGACCCTTTAACTGATTGCCTAGACAGGAAACCGCGGTACATTAATCAAAGGAAGTAATGGTGTCCCTGTTGACTTTGTTGATATTCTTCAACAGAGCAATACACTAGAAAGGCGATAAATTACTCCTGGCAGGCCCGAATTGGCCCGGAGAATATAGTCATTGCACCATTTCGTCTATTCTGCGCCATCCTGCCTTGCCTTGCGAGTGGCTTTTGCGCGACTGTTCGCTATCGCTAACTAACAGAATTCGTGGAGCAAGTAAGGAACGACGCACCAAAATACAGAAATCTTTCTGCATTCCGAGCAATGCAAAAGACCACTATCCCCCTGCAAGCAGCAGTGGCTCACGGGTCATTTTTTACCATCGCCTTCCTTAGCCCAAGGCCGTGTGAGGGATCGTGGACAGATGCTATAGTGAAATCAGACAAGACTTGTTAGCCGTCAGAGGCTTGAGATCACACAAAAACCTGCTCGAGACATTTTCAAGGTTATCGTCTCCTCAAGTGACGTGACAGAAATTCCTGAAAAACTTAGGTTGAACTTCGGAAATAGGTTATCAGATTACCTTAGCTAATAAGATATGCTAAGTGCACCAATTGCTCAGCCTGGGTTGCAGTAGCGGATCGTCAAAACTTGTGTGCACCAAAAGCACTGGATTGCTGTCTGCGAACACTTTTTGCGAGCCATATGTTGTATCGCCACATCAACATTGGAAATCCATTTGATACAAGCTTGGACAAGCGATTACAAACATCGATAGGGTCTTCGAAGACACTTAGCTGCTTACCTGGTTGGGTTGTTTGAATTGGCTGATGGGAGGTTGTGTCCCACCGAATTTTTGCAAGGCCGATTAATACAAACCGGGGACAAACACAGAACACTTTGCGAGAGCAGTCGTCCGGTGCTGGAAGTCTCCGCGTGATCCGGGAGTAAATTACAGGTATGCCGAAGGGCGACAGCGATGCCATAGCATGAATCATAACCCCGGGTTTGGGTTCGTTTTTCTTCAGGTGAATGTTATGTGACGTTTTCGTTGCACTAAGGTAGATATTCACATGTTGCAGATCGCAGGCCAAATGTAACCTTTGTTGGCTGCTGCTTATTTGCACATTGAGCCCCACCCTTGGTATGTCAAGGAAAGTCATGTTCAGTCTGTGAGTTTACAGTCTCATGACAGTGTTAGCTCAGTAGTTGATTTAAAGAAGAAATAAAGGCATTGAATTTCACACTTTTTAGGTATTCTTTGCTGTACTGTGGCCACAGGCTTTTGCAAAAGAATTTGAGAGCCTGGTTAGCTGTCAGCAATTGAGAATATTAATCATGCATCTGCTAGATATTGGAGGCCATGGATATAGTGGAGCATAGGTCCAAACTGCATCATGACATCATTAACAAACCTAGGATGATGTATTTATGACTGTGGCCTAAGAAGAGATGTGTGAATTATGTGCAATGATGTGATTGGGGCCCCAAATCTGTGATAACTAACTTATTCAGGCTGGCATGTGTGTACCAATCCAATGTTGACATCTTTTCAGTGTATGGCACTTAATTCTGGGGTATATTGTGGTGCATATATGTTTATATTACCTAATGCTGAGATTTATTACTAGTAATTATGTATTTGTGTAATAATTTGTGTGATGAAAGATGCTTTATGTGGTACTTGCAGTCAAGTGGGGTATGATATGCAAATCAAGTTATATGATGTATTAGTTTTTTAATGACTGAAGCAAACATGAGGCATGTGCTATGGGAATATAATCTAAACATGTTTGATCAGGTCATATTGGCCTGGATATTAATTGGATATAAGTACAGCTATTAAATTTAAGATGTAGTTGTTTTAATGACAATACTTCTGGGTCCTACTTTTACTGATCTTTCTCTTACATGATACCATGGAACATATCTGATCTTCATTTTCATTGTCACACTATGTCTCTGAAAGTGCAGCCACCCAAGAACACAACAAATACATGTTATGCTGTTACTCCAGCATGTATGAAGCAGTGACATTACAGCAGCAATATCAGTGCACATATTTTGTAAATTTAAGTGCTCAGAGTTGGATGCTTGATTGACACCAAATTGAGCACATAGTCACTGTTTCAAGGAATTGTGATGTTCCAAAAGGAGCTTCAGGTGAAAACGCTCACATTTGTTGAACTCAAGCACAACATTCAGGGTGCAAATGTTGCTGAGGTATGTGGTGCTGTGAATGGATTTTTTTGCAGGCTTACCCTTACCCTCATC